GAAAAAAATTTTAAAACAGTGGTACTTTTGAATTTTTTCCGCTTGTTTGATCGCAGGATATTTGGCGGCAGAAAGAAAAGAAAGGCACAAAAAGCTGCTGCCTCAAGTTCGGAATGGGAAGAGTTCAATCCGAATCTGTTCCAGACCAAGGAGCAAAGTGAGAACTATGAAGAGAAGAGTATGCACAATCGCAGGGTGGCTCCGGGAAGGCCATTGACGACGGATGCGTATTCTCATTTCGAGAATTACGGGTTTCTGGGACCCTTCATCGAGCAGGAATGGCTGAAGGTGATATCACTCAATGTACCATACTACCCAAAAGTGGTACAATACTTCTACAACAACATTGTCTACGAGCGCAATGCAAATTGATCCATTCACGCATTCAAATCCTATGTGAATGGGGTGGCGATGCGCATCAGCAAGAATGTGTTGGCGCAAGTACTGGAGGCTCCAAACGAGGGGAGGAGAATCAATTCTTACGGTGCTTGGAATGAAACGCATTTCACGAGAGCCAAGCAAATCCAGACGGTATGTGGTCTCGATGAAGAGGAAGATGCTCAGGGGCGCAATAGGCCAACGAGTAACCACCTGACTATTCAAGCCAGAGTTCTTCACCACATGCTTTCCTACTACATTCTGCCAAAGGGTGGACATCGAGAGACAGTCACCTACTTCGACATGGAGCTCCTCACCAACCTACTGTTAAACGAGAAGGTGAACTTGCCATACTTGATCTTTAACCACATGCTTACTGCTGCAGACAGGAATCTTCCCTATGGGATGATCCTCACTGTGATATTTTAGCATTTTAATGTGAATTTAAGTGAAGAGGTGGGGTTAAGAATCTCAAGGCAGGAGTTCTATACTGTTTCATCTCTGAAAAAGATGGGCTTTGAGCTGCGGAATGGTGAGTATGTCAGAGCAAACAATGCTCATGGTGGTGATGATGATGATGAGGATGATGATGGTGATGAAGGAGCTCGAGACGAGCCAATGGGGGAGGCACAGACTTCAACTCCACCGATCACCTTACAGCGTGTGTGGGAGCGCATGGATGGCATGTACGAGTACATGGGCCATATGTCCACCCAGATGACTGGCATGTACGACTACATGGGGCAAATGACCGCCCAGATGAGCACAATGCAGGTGACCGTGAATGAGATGCGAGATGAGTGGTGATCTTTCAGCGGAAGATACATGCATCCCACCACATCCGACCACCATCATGCTACCACCACCAATGAAGAAAATGAAGAAAATGTGGATGAGGGAGAGGGGGGAGATGAGTAGGAGAGAGGAGATTTTATATTGTGTGTTTTAGTTTTCAAAACGATTGTTGATTGTTATTCTGTTGTTTTTTTAGTTTTATTTTTATGTGTGAACAATTATGATTTCTATTTTATTTTTAGTTGTTATGCTATGAATTGATGAGTCCTTGTTATAATTATTAATTACTAATTATGATGGTTTGAAACATAATTTATACGATTAAAAGAACCACAAAAATTGACATACATAAGCAAAAAAGACACGGGGCATAGGTTGACTTTCTTGTATTCGGTCGACCTCGTACCGGATTAGGTCGACCGAGAAACCAACACTTTATCTTCATTTTACATCAAATGATTGGACACTTTGATAGAACACTTATCTTCTATCTGGTCGACCTCTTTCCTTATCCGGTCGACCATTTTGTTAATGACTGCCATCAAGTGGTCGACCAGATATATTAGGTGGTCGACCATGTTGTATCTGACGCCAACGAAATGGCCGACCGAGGTTTTATTCTGGTCGACCAAAAATAACAACTTAAACTAAGTGCGGTCGACCAGGTGGTCGTGGCGGTCGACCGCAATGCTTTCTCGTGCTGCCCAAATTAGTCAATTCGGTCGACCGCCTTGACGAATAGGTCGACCGAAAAGTGCATGTCACCGTGACATGCATGTCATAGTAGGCATACCCTTATTATTATTATTATTATTATTATTATTATTATTATTATTATTATTATTATGCAATGATGAGATGCCTCACATGTTGGGCTTACCCCACACTTTATTTTGAACAAACTGAGCATATTTCAAATAATACCAACATGTCTTGATAGGTAGTTTTAGCATTTTATAGAAGATACAATTCACCTTATGGGAAAAAGTTTTAAAAAGTGAGACTCAATGCATAATTAGAAATCTATAATGAATCAAATAGCATGGCATTCAAAAACCTTTGACTGTCACATCATTCATAGACACTACACTAGCCTCCCTAGGTTCATTGATTCAAAGTAAGATGAACAGTGAACATGCTTGTAGAGGAAGACTAAACAAGTCAATGATGGAAAAACCTCTTTAGTAATTTTTGAAGAGTTCGCATAGAACACATAAATACTAGTATTGGATAAAATCATCCGATTTCAACAACTAAACATATAGCATGTATAGAGCATACAAAGGAAACCATCACAACACAATTCCACACCACACTTTAAACAGGACATTGTCCTCAATGGACTAAAAGATAAGTAAGTCATGCTAGATATTTGGAACCGTTTAACTCATTTGACGTTCAATTCGAGATATAAATAGATGGCTTAGCTCAAATCACTCTTATTCATTATATAGGGACATTCTACATAAGCAAAAGAAAAAAGCAGATAATGAAGAGAGCTGATGCTTCTTCTCATAAACAAAATTCAAAATAAAAAAAAAAGAAAATTTCATCATGCCCATCATCTCTCGAAGAACATGCCCTTAACCAGATGACCAATCAAGTTTGGATGTCCACCCAACACCCCATTTGTCGATATTTAATAAAGATGGCTCTATGGGATGTCGATTGAATCCACTTTGGGAATTAAACTCTTGATAGTCTTCTGATACTTTGCACTCCAATTCCTCAATCTTCTCTAGCCACGACTTGGGACTTGTAATGAGCATTCGGAGTGCCCTTTGCGCTAACTCAAATCTGGAATTGAGCTTCTTTCAACTATTCCCCCATACTAGGTCTTCATCGCAATGATAATAGCTTGCTCGTAAGGTATCCTCATATAGAATCCCGACCTTGTATTGATGTATATCTCTAGCTCCATCTCTTTCTCCTCGAAATCATCATCACTGACCTCTTGATTGATAAATTTGGCTTCAATATATCTCACTATACTCGATGCACGATTCCTCCTACTTATAATTTGATTTATCCTATTGCTGCATCGATCGTGGCACCCACAGTGGCAAGTAATAGGATTTCTCCTCTTGTTCAAGGTTTATGGGTTCCAAGGTTGTTCTAAACCTTGACTAAGAGGTGAAGGGAATCATCATACTCGATTCTTCCTCCTGGATGTTTCCTGTGGTTGAGGTTGCTCTGGTAGGTGGATTTTTTGAGGATGCAGATTGAAGAAGACGTAGGAAGTGATGAAATCCCTCAAGTGATGTGATACCTTGAAGTCTTCAACATCTTCGCGCAAATCCAAGAAGATTTGGATTAGTTCGTATTCTTCAAAACTGCTACCTTCTTCTCTTTCTGAAGATTGAGTTGTAAGTCCGTCTTCTTCTCCATCCAATGGGATGACATATTGACATTGAGATGACCTTCCTCTTCATGGTCTATGATCTGTCCAAATTATTCATGCATCTTCATTGGCTTCTTGACCAAGAGGAAGAAGAAAAGTTGGTGTTTTCGCGCACATATTGACCAAAACCTTTTTGTTGTTCCTCTCAACAGGAGCATCCATTTTGAGCGTAATAGTAAGTTGTTCCATTTGAGATACGTGTAAACGCGCATGCTTTTAGCATTTTGTTAGGTGTATGTGCCTTCACACATGTACAGTTTTAGACTACAATATTCTTGTAAATACAAAATAAATTACCACATTTCCGATAATATACATTAAAATAACTATATTTTGGCAAACCATCCCTCAACCTCCTGCGTCTATCATTTTACTCTGTAGAAAGCAAATTTCATCCAGAAAAGAGTTTGGGAGTAAGTGGTCAGAATGATTGTCGGTGAGATACATGCTCATTCCGTCCATTGTTAATTGGTACAAACTTGGTTCAAAGCCATAGCGATCCCTACGCTTCACATGGAACCAAACTGATGTTCAAGCAGAATCCATGAGTTCAGATACCTGAAAGTCATTGCGTGGGTGACAAGGCAATGAAATTCCTCACTGCTTCGACATTTCGTCACTCGCCAGTTCTCTCTTGACCAAATCCGCAGTAGTTTCAACACTCTCTCACGACTTGGGAAAATGCAGAGGAAACTCCAGAGTTCCAGTTTGTCAGCAGCGCGTTGACACCCTGTGCCTGAAACCATCCAGTTCATATCAGGATTCCATATCAGTTAGAACAGTAAAAAGAGGTCAATCAAAAGACCATCAAACCAAACCCGGGGCTGGAATGATGATGTTCTATACCAGGTAAGAGACAAGAAGAGAGACGAAAAACGAAGGGAGAGGTTCCTTCCAATTATTTAAAACCCTTTGTTCGATTGATAATGTACTCTAATTCTACACCAAAACAAAGGTTTTAATACTAAGAAAATACCAATGTTCTTATTACGCCACTCCACAACAACAACCAATTAAATTTATAAGTTAGAAATCAATATTTTAAGCTTTGGACTTATTCCGATTCAGTCCCACACCCACCCTAATAATCACCTTCTTCCCCTTCTACCCTCTACCTTTGAAGTCAAACCCTGTTATTTTGATCATCATCATCTGCCTCACCAAGGAAAGGGAAACTTACCAATTTTCTTTTGATTCCCTTTTGTCATCTGATGCTCTCTGTGATTAGCTCCTTCTGAACAGACCCTTCTTTTTTGGATTTCCTTTATATTCCATGTCCTACTGCTTAGCCAGCTAGTGAGTTCATTGGTTTTTGCTTTGGAAGTATCTCAATATTGATTCAGCTTGGTCAATTTCTAGCCGGAAAAGCTCAGGCACAAGAGCTTTGCAGAACTGAGGAATCTTTGGGTTCTGAGCAAGAGTTTGATGAACTGAGAAGCAGGTCTTTTCATCGTCTGATGACCGGATGGGGCGAGCCCGTTGTAAGATGAGAAGATGATGGGGATGGAAGGAAGGCATAATTGGAGGTTGACAAGTGTTGACTCTTCCATTCTTTGCCTGCTCATATTACTTGTTCAATCAATTCCTGCACAACAAGAAGGTAAGTATTTCAACTCCACGCACCCAAGACATGTCTGTGTTAGCATTGAACTGCATACGCCAGCAACTGTATTTATCAATTGACATGATCTTCCAGAAGAGATCTTGTTGCAAAGTATCAGGATCATGGATCAGGCTCATTCATGAGTATTGATCCAATTCCAACCAGATATTCCGAACGCTGAAAATATGTTTTGACTGCCACCTTGGCATTGAAAGAATCAGCCATATCAGGAAGTAAATGCACAATAGTAATCGTTACCTTTTATTGAGTCTGAGAACTGGGTGTATGCAAGTGCCAAACTCATGAACCCTAGCTGAATTCAGATAAACACACTCAATATATCTATCGACACGCAATGGATCAAGGAACTAAACACAGGAATTTTCCTTCCTAGAAAATAACCCTGAAGTGAAGTAGTTATAACGAAGAAGATACAACTCTAGGTAGTCATGAGATTTCGTACTACCCTGACCAAATTCCAAGTTCACGGACAATTCTTGCCTGTAGTTGCTCCCCTCTTTGTTCCAACAATGGTTCAGGGAAGGAAAGCAGAATTTACTAAAACATGAGAATCTTGTGACCTGCAGGTTTCATAAGCATAAAATGCTGTGGTGGAAAAGGGCAAACAGATAGCTCCTCAATAACTTGGATATCAGATGATCAATGGTATCCAGATGAAACAGGTTGCCAGAGCATAGCCAGAGCATCTCCCGATAACTACACAACAGGCCACGATAAAGTTAGATATTTCTACATTGGTAACGCTGAGAAGAGATGTTACAGCTTGCCAACAACTCCGGACCACGACTACTTGATAAGAGGCACATTCCCTTTCAGCAACACAGTACTAGGGTCGGAATCCCCTACCTTTGATGTCTTGGTTGGTGTAACACCAATAGGTTTGGTGGACTCTTCAGGAGAATCACAAGTTGAAAGCATCTTCAGAGCTACTGATCAGTACACAGATTTCTGTTTGGTGCAAGAAACAGGAGATCCTTACATTTCACAGATTGAATTGAGGCCCCTGTATGATGATTCAAGTTACCTGGATGGAAAAGATTCTGCGGTCCTCCTGAAATTGGTGGACAGAGTGGATTTGGGAAACAGCGGGAATACAATCAGGTACTTGTTGAGCTCTTTTTTATTTTTAATTATCTGCTCAAAGACCAATTAAGCACATTCGATTGAAGAGATAAGGCTACTGACAAGCATCCTTTTCTGGAACTCTTCCATCAAATATTAAGGTTTAAGAGCTAAATTAGGTTCCAGGCACCAATTAGGATACATACCATCTGCCACAACTACTGGACCATGGCCAGCGTTTCATTAGCTCTAGCACAGCAATTGCAACCTTTCCATTTATCAATATCTGCAAGTTTACACGTTAGTATTCCAGGATCAGATATTTACTTCCCTTCGGGATCGGTTAGCATGCTAACCCTTGTATAGGTTGGCAAAATGACAACCCCTATTAATTATAGGTTTTTAAGGTAATTAATTTGTGTTGCATTTAATAATCTGTATGAATTAAAAACACATGTTAATTACTTTCCTTTTTTCAGTGCACTGGTAGTTGTATCAGTGCACTGGTATACTAAACTCATATTAATTACGTTCCTTTTTTGGAACTACCATTGCCGTGATACATCTACCATTTCACCTGTACACAACTACTGTGGTGAAAATAGCAACAAGTGAACTCTTATTCAGTACTAGGAGAACTCATAACCAAAAGTAAGTTAAATTGTATTCAGTAAAAAAATCAAGTCATATTCAATACCAAAACAACCCAATTAAATAATACGAATATCAAATACTAGATAAAGTCATATTCAACAATATGATACAAGTATTCAGTACCAGTGAAGCTCATATTAGTATGACGACAACCCAAATAAAATAATACGCATATCAAGTACTCGGTAACGTCATATTCAACAATTTCATAAAAGAGTATTTCAGTACCAACTCTATTTGTATTCAGTACAAGATCATAAAATAAATATTGTGTGCCAACAATAAACATATAATATCATAATCTAACAAACATTCACCAAGATATTCAATCCACCGTAACATAAACATACTTCATTACTACAAGTTGAATTCATAAAGAATACCACATATACTTTATACAATGTCAACTTGTATTTGGGAGGAGTAGCTAGGGATGGCAATGGACCAAAGTGGGTCGGGTATTGCTCAACCTGAACCTAGCTCGTTGCTTTGTAACATGCCCCGCACCATCCCAAACTCACCATGGGTTGGCTTCTAGTGGTCCATGCCGCAATCCACACGGGTTAGGTTCGAGCTCGGCCCGCTTTGACCTCGAGGTGGTAAGCCGCCAATGGCACTCGCTGGTTTTCCTCGACTCCTTGATAGTCAAAAAATTGATAGACGCAAGTAAACCATTCGGTTGGGTCATCACCAGCGAAACGCAGGAACTCCAATTTGGAGAAATGAGTGGGAAACATGGCCCAAGTTGCTTCCTCTGTCCAGTGAGTGCGTGGTGGGAGGTCGTCCCGCCGGCGGAACTGATGGATGGAGCTGTCCAACAAGATATCCGCTTTTGTGGATTCCTTTCGACGTAACAATTGGAGAATCTTAGCTTGACCGATCACCGGGCTTTGGAGCCTTCCAGTGAGTTCCATGATGTTGCCATCTACTCGCCGGACATCACCGTGAAGACTTTTTGGACAGTCTCTTGAAGGCTTTGTACGGTAACCTCCAAGAGCTCCACTTTCTCTTTGGCGGTGGCTTCAGCGACGCGTGTGTTGGACGGGTTCATCATGGGCTCTGATACCAAATGTTGAAACCGTTGAATCAACGGGGTGATTTTGTTCTTCTTTTTCTAGCAAGAACCAGCCAGTTTGAGAGACTCAAGTTTCGAAAAAAATTCACTGCCTTTTTTATTGAATCTGACTCCTTTAAATAGGAGAAGTAACCTAAACCGGATAAGTCTCAGGAGATGCTCTTCCGATTTTACATAACAAACAAACAAATCAAATCAAATAAAAGAAATTCGACGATATCCCGCTCAATCACCTAAGGTGATCTAGAGTTCCTAAACAAACAAAACAAACAAATCTATCCATCATTATCAATGGAAACAGACTCCTACAGTTGAAGGCAGCGTAGATGGCAATCCTTCCTTGGTGAGCTTTCTAGCCACGTGTGTTCTTGCATGGGCTGTATGGATCCCCCTTACGTACTAGCCTCCTCTTCTTGTGTTGAACCTCATCATAATACTCATCACATCCTCCACATGATCAATTGTTTTTTTGAAAATATGTAAAACATAATTAATTCTCATGAAACCCAATGGAAAACAGAATTAAAGAACATCAATCACAAACCCAAATAGTGTCAAGAAAGAAAAGAAATGTACCATCATAATTCAGCCAACTTTGTGCGCACATTAAGGATTCCACAATCTTGGGGTGAAGTTTGCTACGTTGAGGACTTGTGATCTTTCCACTTAGTACTGAAAGTTGATTCTGAAGCAACTTTTGTAGCTAGAATTGATAAAAACATCTCTAGCAACTTTGTGCATAATAAGATATTTCCCTTTATTGGACTTCCACCAAGATAAGACATCAAAGTAAGGGATAGTCCTAATTATATCGTCTTCCAAATATGTGATTCGGTCTAATTGTACACTTTTACCCCCATTTCGCTTTGACGTTTGTTGCAATTGAACTCCAGAAAGGGTGATTTTACGGGAGGTTTCTTGTGTTTCAGTGTGTTTCAGATCCTAACAGGTGAAACCAACCCCGTAGTCGGAAGTTGGAAGAAAAGGAGCAAAGACCGGGCAAAGAGGAGGAGACAATCATAGTTCACAGTCAGCCATTGGAGTTCACAGTCTTACAGGACCGTGAACTGGAGCCACAATCCCTGAAAAAATGAGCGTCCAGAGAGGGTTTTGAGGTTACTGACGCCAAGGTTGTTCACGGTCGCTAAAACCGTGAACAGAAGCCACAAACCATGTACCCTAGGATGTGAAACGGTGCGTTTTGGTTCGAACACTGTGTTCACAGACACGTTTCGATGTTCACAACCGTGAACTCGGGCCGTGAACTGGGCTCAATCTGAGTTTAAAGAGCCAGCTAAAAGGAAGAAGAAAAAGGAGAGACCTAGTGTGAGAAACTTCTTCTTCAGATTTTAGAGTGAGAAAGTGATGAACCAAAGAAGAGGAGAAGTTAGGGTTTTATCTCCAAACAAGGATTTGGGAATTCCTCTCCCAATGGAGGATCTCTTCAACACAAGGAGCAAGACTTTCATCTTCTTGATGGTTTTCCTTTCCCTCTCTTGTGTTTTCCCTTCCCCTAACATGGAGTAGTCCCTTCTTTCACTTGGGTGTTTGTAAACCCTAGCTACAATTATGTGAATGCTTGTATGAATTGAATGATTTGTGTGTGGTTGTGTTTAATGTGAAGGTGGAGGTATTTTTCATGGTGACTGTGTGTGCTATGTTGACCTAGCATAGAGAGGAGACCTCCTTAGGTTAAGAGGCTCAATTAGAGATGGGTGTTCTTGGGCATTACATGCCTCCTAGGCTAGTTCAGAGAGAAAATCTCCTTTTATCCAAAGAGGCTCGATTTAAGCTGGGTTTCCTTGGGAATTCAAGGCCTCCTAGACTAGTTATGAGAGAACCCTGCTTAACGTAAGAGGCTCTATTAGAGATGGGTTTCCTTGGGCATTTCATGCCTCCTATTCTAGGTTAATTAAGGGCAAACCTCCTATTCGTATTAGCACTTAGGGTTTGGTTGTGGGTGGCCGTCCGAACTCCAATTCGAGGGTGAAGTCTAACCATTCCTTAGTCGATAGGTTTAGTGGGACGCATTAGTGGCTTGGATCATATCCCATTTCCTCAACCTAGAGACTAAGAGGGTAGCCTTGGTTACTTGTTAGACTTCCCTGCGGTTTATCACCCCCTAACCACACAAGGTCGTTCGATTATTCAAGTCATAATTGTTATCTAGGGGGAGCAACACCCGGGTGAAGCCTTCTTAATTAGTGTCAAATCCAATTTACCTTTGCAAAGTACTTTAGTTTTAGACCTTTGTTTTCACCAAAACTAATACGCTAGATAATGTTTCAAGCAGTCGAAGTAGCAGTTCATGGGCCGGCCTAAGTTTATATTTAAACATACTTGCCCTACATTGCACTCATCAAAGGTTTATACTTGGGCCTTAAGTGGGATTTTATTTTTGATAGTAAGAGCGAGTCAAGTTTTTGGCGCCGTTGCCGGGGAGCTTCGGTCCATTTGAAATGATTATTTGGTGTTGATCTAGCTTTTAATTTCTGTTTTGTTAAGTTGTGAAGTGTTTTCTTGTGCCAGACGTGTTGTGTTCTTTAAGTGTGTGTAGGGAGGTGCATGACCCGGAGCAATCTTGCGCCTTTAACACCACTGGACGAGGACATCAACCGGACTCTCCGACTTCTAGATTGAGAGAGGGAGCAAGCGGAGGCAAGAAGTAGAAGTGAAGAAAGTGGACAACAAGTTGGTCCCAGATTTGAAGGAATCGAAGGAGAAGTTGAAGTTGATATGGAGGGAAATCAACACCGAGGGGCTAATCCGCTTCCAATCCCAAATGTGGAAGTGGGAGCCGAGGAAGAGCCAAGGACTATGGACTATTACATGGCTCCACGGGCGGCGGAAATCCAATCTCCCATCTTACATCCACTCGTGGCGACCAACAACTTTGAAATCAAGCCCTCTCTCGTGACGATGATTCAACAAAATGCCTACTTCCAAGGGCTTGCCCATGAATCACCAAGAGAGCATATCCAAAGGTTTCTTGAGCTAGCGAGAAGCTTGAAGATAAATGGCATCCCCGA